AACTAGCCGGCCTCCACCTCCACGTTATTTTAATAAATCTTGTTTGTAATTTCTAGCGATCCAACTCTTTTAATAGAATTAACCCTTCTGAGAATAAGCGCAGTCTTCATAATCCTTTAAGGAGTCACACTTAGCTTCTTTACCAAGTGATCGTCACGTTCTGTTTTAAATACATGTTTTTGTTTCATCGCCTGCTTTGCACTAGATTTCATAGCTTATAAATATGTTAACGAGAAAATTTGAAAATTATAGTTTAATTTCAAGTTGGAGCACACATCACATCAACAGTCTTTAATAGTCCACTGCTGGACATAGACCTCTCCTTAGAAAGGAGTTTTTGGCCTACTATACCACGCTGGTCAGACGGGTTGGTATAGGGTTTATTTCAAGTTTTCCTTCTCTTTGCAGTGCTGTTGTCCTGCGTAGTTTGCTCCCTTAGTCGGCTCTTACGATACCCACGTGATGAATAGGAGTGGTGACACTCCGTATTCTTTATCCGTCACCACACGGAATATTTGTTAGTTGGAGCACACATTTATCCTCTATTATTTATTTAACCTTCAGTATCCTGTAACCTTACTAACATTGAGAAAAGCTATGAACGAATAGCTTACCACTGGTTTCTTGTGAGGCCGTGGTCGGACTCCGTTGGATTGGCTCATAAAATATTCTATCTTTACTCTTTAGTAGTGATTTAGTCTTACGTGTCTCACCCCTATAATTTGAACAGTAAGTCTTCCTATGTTTAACCTCCGGGAAACTAAGTGGTTAGGGGATCGATAAACCAAAAATGAAGAGATTTCCCACTTTTAGGTACGCTCCAAGTCTGTTTAATAAAAAAAGTAGTAAACATAATATCATTTATTACTCACATCACTTATTGCCGATCTTAACATTGCGATCTACAAAATGATCCATTTAGACAACGCCATCTTTCGACCAATTATGGAACCATAAGTTAACAACAATTATGAAATTATAAGATCATAATAGATGGCGTTACATGTTCCATTATAACGATAACATATCAACAGCCTTTTACAGTCCACTGCTGGACATAGGCCTCTCCTTAAAAAGAAGGTTTTGGCCTACTATACCATTATTCGTATTCTTAATACGCGTATTCTTAATCCGTCACCACACGGACAGATAACGATAACAATTTAATTAATTATACGACATCCTGAGAAAGCAATTTTCGTCACTATAATTATCTAACAAAATTATTAAATCATCTCTTGTGAATAGAAACAGTATATTTATATTCACAATTTTACAAGAAGAAGCTGCATGACAAAATTTAAAAGCACACGGAATCTAATTAAGATTCTTTCATTCATTTCTTATTTAGGTGACTAAGAGGTGTGATAAAATAAATAAATGGCTGTTCTACTGTCGCCTTTCAGCTTAATTGGCTATTCTCTGCTAAACTGGACACTTTTCTCCTTAAATAACTTAGCGAAATTAGCTTTTTCCATGCCTCTGCGTGTTGTCTTACAACAATTAGGGCAGAAACTGAATCTTGTAATTCAATTTCCCAACGGTATTGCATTATTTTCTAAAAGTCTCTAATCTGACCATATAGCCACAACAATTAGAAAATTTACTGAAGATTTATTCAATTGATAAGTGGCATTATAGTTGGTTGCAATCGTTCCTTTTTAAATTTCACGTGTAATTTTGTGAAAATGCAAAACGATATGTTCCACATTCATCATGCCATCATCTATGCAGCCAGCCTATGTCCAGCAGTGGACTGTTAAAGGCTGTTGATGTGATGATGTGATGATGAAAAGTGCTTATCTTTGGCATACACGTTGTGTAGGGTACAGAAATAGCTTATGTACCTTGGGTGGATAGATACCTTTTAGTCAAAAATATTAGGATTTTAAATAATACAGAGACAAGAACCACACTCCATAACATGTATTGTTTTTGTTTTTTTTTTTAATCTTTATTTGATTCGGGGTTTTGATCCAGTAAGGATATGCCAACCCCATTGTACCTTGATACATGGTAAACACAAATAATTATTGTTAAAACAGTCTGGTATATTAAATCATTGCTGAACTACTGTAATCAGGTGACACAATTTTTTAGCTGCTTCTGACCTTGGATAACTCATTATGCTTTGTATTAAAACCTACATCTAATAAATTTATATTAAGTTCTTTGAGCAAAGCCTCGCGGTTATTTTTATTCCTGTCACAATCCATCAGCAAGTGTTGCACATCTTCTATTTTATTACAAAAAGGACAATTAGGTGAGTCAGTTTTTTTCATTAAATGTGCAAATTTTGCTGATGGATAGTGACCAGATCTAATTCTAAGAGCTAGTTTCACATAGTGTCTGCTTAATCGAGCGTCATCAAACCATGCGACCTGAGGAGGCATTGCCTGAATGGTTTTGTACCAGATACCTTTTTCCTTAGATCTATCGTTAAAATAAGTAACCCAGTCATCATAACAGCATTTTTTAAATTTAGACACTAATTCCCAGAACATGTATTGTTAGTTTAGTTTATTAGTAAAAAGAAATTTATTTGCATAGTTACAAGTAAAGCTAATAAACAGAAAACGTACTGTCTCGAGCGGAAGGGACTCCAAGATCAGCAACGCACTTGTGACTTTTGAGTTGCAGGTGTCCATGAGCGGCGGTAGTTGCTTACCATCAGGTGACCCGTCTGCTTGTTTGCCCTCTTATACATTAAAAAAAAATTGTTTGTCCACTTGTGATTATAGCAGTCTATTTAATTTAAAGATTTTTTTTGAAAGACAGCTTCCGAACTAGGATTATTTCTTGTGCCAAAATTCATTCATTGTACCAGGAACCTAATTGTCCTTGTAACTTGCAAGCCATAACCACCATTAGAATACCCACGGAAGCGTTAAAGCTAACATTTGACGAATTCCATTGAAGTTAAATTTCAAAACTGACGTGTAGTCAATTGGATAGCGTAGTGGTTTAAGCGGTCGCCACGCCGCTTACTACTACGCTGAGTGTTGTGGGTCCGATCCCCACATGGGTCGACACTTTGTGTGATCCACAAATTGTTGTTCTGAGTCTGGGTGTCCTTTGTGTCCGTCTCATGTATGTTTGTAAAGTCCCCTGCGACACAGGATTTATTCCTAGTGAGGGAGTTGTTTTTAAAGAAAAAAAAATGAAATCCTATACTAATGAAATAAAGATCAAATTCCATTGAAACTTTAACAATTCAGTACGAACAATTAACATTCATATTTTAGGCTTCTCACTCATTGTGTCCTCTACTCTATTAATATTTAATATCATAGCTTTGTACTTACTTCCTTTCATTACTTAATTGCTCGTTACAATCATAAATTGTGTCCAAAGTTGACCCAGTTTCCCTACCTTCCCTCCCACCCCACGCCGACCTACGTGGGAGGTGTTAATGTGAAATATAATTTATTTTATAGCTGTTGTTCTTCTTTTGCTGATATTAATATTTCAGGTACGACCTATAGGTAGACAAGAGTAGGTATCATTTGGTTTAGAATTTTCGCCATTGCTTTCACCCCGTCCTTGTCACAGCTGGTCACATTTGTGAACTTTTCTCTCTCCTTAGTTAAACGTCACACATTTTGCAATTTAACCATCTGAATAAATGAAATTAGCAGTTCCAAAATCATTATAAATTTATTATAACCCTTATATATATAGCTTAAAGGAAGTAAAACTATTTTTCGTTCATAGTTAGTGTCACGAAGCTTAGCAAAACTATTTCCACAGTATTATAATAATAATCTATACTAATATTATAAAGCTGAAGAGTTTGTTTGCTTGAACGCCCTAATCTCAGGAACTACGGGTCCGATTTAGCCCATTTATCGAGGAAGGCTATAGGCTATATATCATCACGCTAAGACCAATAGGAGCTGAGCACCAATGAAGAATATTGCAAAAACGGGGAAAATTCATTCCTTTTAAAAGGCGCAGACGAAGTTGCGCAAGTCAGCTAGTAAATTATAAAAATAACATTTTGTATCGTACTGATGCAGTCTGAGTGAGAATGATCAGCTTCATATTTATATTTAAAAAAAAAACATGTACGCATTTCTTTATTTAACATCATCTAAAATTAATTAATCGAACTAATTAAATTTATTTATTAAAACATCTAGCACAAATGCACCTAATGCCTAAGGTATTCTCTGAAAGTCAACTTATCTGATTCATCACATACCTTTAGTCACTTAGAGATGAAAACACACACACACAAATAAAACTAAAAATTGGATATCACCAGCATAAAATTAACCTTATATGCTGTTCTTTTATACTAAACTAGCTCTTGCAAGTGTCTTCACTCGCGTGATTACTTCTTATATGACCCCTTAAGGGTGAAATTTCCATAATTGCTTTCTTAATGGGTGCTAACAACGTAAAAGGAGAAGCAGTTTAGGCTGTAAGTTGATAAATCAGTCAGTAAGTCAGTTACAGACACAAAACAAGGACAAGAAGTCCAAGTCGGGTGACTTTGTCACTTGGATACCATTTTGATCCAGACACCAGTTTCTATCTATTTCATAGTAAATTTCTGATCACTAACTGTTGTACTGAGTAAAACTAAATCTAGTTCCTATGTAAAAAACTTAGTAATACAATCTGATCCGGACTACGATCACACTTTTAAAATCACACTATATTTAAACGTAATTATAAGACTTAATCGGTTCCAAGTAATCCAAGTAAAGTAAGTAAGTAAAGCATCAAATTCACAATTTTATAATCTTATACTTATAACTTTCGCCAATAACAGTTAATATAGAAAACATTATCCGTAAACGAGGTCACAAACTGTATTAATCACCAGAAAGAAAACTTATTTAGAAAATAATGAAAGTTCTTAAGAGCAAAACTGCTATTGGAAAAGTTAAAATAACTTACAATTTTATTTCTACATCATCCGAAGGTCAACTGTGCGAGAAATACAATTTGTACATTAAGTCAACATAAATAAATACATTTAAAAACATGATCTAGGCCAAATGATCAGAAAGTTTATTCCCCCGTGTTTCTGGAAGCAAGTAACACGCAATCGCAGCCAATAATGGTATACAAGCAAAAGCAGCTGGAGGCAGCCATGGAGCTACAATGTTTAGTCCAGCTACGAATGGAGCTATCATTGATCCTATTCTGGACACCATAGATGAAGCTCCCATTGCCATGTTGCGGGCTACCGTTGGAAACAGCTCAGAAGTGAACATGTATCTAAAAAAGTAAAAAAAAACATTACAGATTTAACATTATTAATTACAATATCGATAATTACATGTTAAGAAAATTAAGTTTGTTACATAAACTTACTAGAGATTTAATAATTCAAGATAGCGCAAAATCTGAATACTTTTAAATGGGCACATTTAAAAGTATTCAGATTTTGCGCTATCTTGAATACATAACACACAATAGTTATGAAAAAACTATCAATCAAATCACTTTTTTATGCATAAAATATGAATTAAGAAAGAATAACAGAAATCCGATTAAGATGCTTTTACTGGAATATATCATCGATCTGTTTTTTTTTTAATTGAGAACGCCTGACCTACTCACGAGGTCACTTGTATTTGTATTAGAAAGATACACACTTGTATTAGAAAGATGATTTCCTAAGATATTCCTTATGTAAATGAATTTAAATTTTACTTAAATATTTCTCCAACTTAGCTCACTCTAGCACTTTCATGCTTCGTACTTAGTTTGCTTAATTTTGTTAAGAGGTTTTTAGTTTTGTACGTTTGGGATTTCTAGTAATTATACTTTTAAAAGTTGGTTCGTTAATGGCATGCCTCTGAAGACACTTTTCGGTACTCAACCTCAGAGTGGCATTCGTGCAACAATATAGCAAAAACTTTATCAAAAATTAGATTACTGACACTTGGTTTTGTGAATGAGCTTCTACTTTGGTTACTGGATTAGTTACTCATAGTTTCTGGATTAATATAGCAGTAATTATATAAAATCTAAATACTTACATAGAAGAAAAACAACCTGAAGCACAGCTGACAGCTATGGTACCCACAACTAATCTGAGGTAGAACCAGTCATTAGGAACTGCGAGTACGGCATTACTCAACGCACAAATGAGAAATAAACTGATTAAAGTTATCCGTCTGCCAATATACTTACAGAGGACAGATGCCAGTATCAATCCCGGAATCTGAGAAATTAAACGATAAGATTTTAGTTTGTTTTAAAATCTGCCAACAAGAGCATTTTAATGAAAAAAAAAAGATTTTAAAACCGGATCTTTTTTGACCGAAGTTAGAATCGATTAATACAAAGGTAATATGAATCTTATTGTAATTTATTTATGTGCATATCTGAGGATACGTGAAAGTGGTTAGCAAATCTTTTCAGGTAGTAAAATTAAACTCACTCTTACTTACTTGCAACAATCCAGCCAAAAATATACTGATAAATATATTTGAGCTAGTTTCTCCTATGTATTGGTTGCTTCCATAGAAAGTTATACCAAGTGTAAACCAGATAGTGCACGAGCAGATACTGTTCAGCTTCAGAGCTTTTGTCTTTACCAGGTCCATGTATGTTGCCTTGCTTTGTTTTTTGTCATTTGAGTTGACATTATCAGCTGCGATACTTTTGACTACGTCCAACATATTTTCTGTTGGCAGATTGTTCCTAAAAACATTAAATTATGTCTTATTGATTTTTAATTTTTAAATATTGTTTAAATTTATTTTCTCACATATTCACAAAGTTTGTATCCACGTGGTACAATTTATCATTCAAATGAAAGATAAAATTAACTTTTTTGATTTTTTTGGAGACCATAGGATAATACACAGGAAAGTACACATATTTGCGAAGATAAAACAAATTACGGACCATTTGTACAATCCCGCAACTTGTTACGTGCAATGACTATTCTAGCGTTAATAGTATTTACAACTCTCATCAATCGCTGATGTTGCTTGATAACCTGGCATTAGGTAGTCGGCTTATCGGCTTATATATTTGGGTTACCCGCACCTTTACACCTCAGCTAGACCGTCTATAGTTTCTAAAGGATATGTTTGTTTCAAATGATGAAACTTAGCCATATACTTTTTCCTTGACTAATTTAGTAATTATTTAAAAGTAATGATTACCATTGCGCCGCCTGTGTCATCACCATACTTGCTTCCTCTAACCTTCCTGTTGTAATTAGCCATTTTGGTGACTCTGGCATAATGAAAAAATACACTAGATACAGCAAATTTGGAATCGCTACACCCAAACAGAACATGTCATACGTTCTTAAGAAGTACGCAAATATTGGCATTGTCATCTCGCCTATGGACAATGGAATAGCGCTGAGGCATGCAATTAACTCCCTATGTCTTGGCCCAGTGATTTCTATGATGAAAATAAAAGCACATAACAAAGTGCCTGCTGTTGAAGTCCCAAGGAAGAAACGCACGCCTGTAAATATCCAATATGTTGGACAAAAGGCTTCGGCCATAGTCGTAATTAACTGCAGCACGCATGCTGTCAATAATGCCGGTCGACGTCCATACCTGAAAGAGTATTTATTTAAATATGGATATCACACAATCTCCTTATGTGACTTTACGCATAGAATGCCACTTCGGCAGTCTGTAGACAATGTTTTTATATATAGAATGTAAAAATCAAAAGTATAAAACAATTTCATTTTACCTATATAAACCTAGTCTGGTTTATAAAAAAGACGCAAGATTGGTTCAATGTAAAAGCGTCTACCGATCGAATCGAATAGACGTTAGATGCTTGGTGACAGTCGATGTTGTGTATGATACAAAGCTAATTTTTTTTCCGATGTTATATAAGCTACACACAGCACTACAAACTATTTCTAAGATATTTTGTAACATAAAAGATATTAAATTAATGATATATTAACAGAAAAGATATTTTACGACAATATAAAATATTTAGTGTATTTGGGCGCTTCTTACTGATTTAAACTTTTGATAGAAAATTTGTAAATTTCAAGTTTATAATGGTGCAGTAATAATTTGACATATTTTTATATATTAAACCATAATATTTTATCGTATTGCTTACCTATCAGCAACGAATCCAAAGAACACACTGCCCACCAGAACACCAAACATGTTAACAGTTTGAGTGAAGTGCGCCATCCATGCTCTGTCGCAGATCAACTCCCATTGCGATATTATCGTGTTGCCGAACTCTGTATGGTACTCATAATTCGCACAGTCATCGTAACACTTCGACATCTCCACTTTCTCCGTTAAGTTGGTGTCTGTGCACATAAACTTTGTTGTTGGTGCTATAAATATAATGCCCAATTGTTGCCACCCCGCTGATATCTTTGTTGGCCAAACCACCAACATGAGCATCAGCACTTGCCATTTTCCCAGTTCTCCTATTGCATTTATTAATTTATCTTTCTCATTCTTCTCCGTCACTTCTTCCTTTATTTGGTTCAGTTCCATTTTTATTAAGTTTCTTGGCGAGATTGTACCATAATCTTCGCCAAGTCAGGATCAGGTTTCTAGGTATTTTTCAAGTTGTTTCACAAACCTTAATTTAACATATTTTACAAGTTATAGGTATGCTTTAGTTGAGATCTGAAACAAAAAACAAATATTTAATGTTCCGGCTCTTTTTACTTATACAGTGTATCACAAATTCTAGCTCTAAGCATGTTCAAGTCAAGTATTGTCGAATCTTTTTACGAATTAAGTAAAAAAAGTGAAATTTATGTATGCTTCTATTTTATATTTTAATCACAATCACTTCGTTACGAGGTACATTCTTTAGAAGCAACAACCATTTTGTGACAAGAATGTATTTTAAATGTCGTTAAATACTTCAAGTCAATACAATATTTTTACTACGTCTTCTTGTATTAAGTCTTACAAACTGTAACTTGCTTCGATATTTGCTTATGTTTTTTTTCTTTGTTATTAATCTTGTTATGTTCGAGCGTGGCGGTCACCTTTTGTTTTATAGACATTAGGTTAAATCACTTCGTAACCGTCAATACCTTGATATGTACAAACTTTACATTTCCAGGTTCTTTTCAGCTAAGTGTGAATTTTCTCTGAATACATTATATACCTTCTTGGAATAGAGTAGTTTAGAGAGTTTAATTTAAAATTGCTCTAACAAATAAAACGCCCATTACACAATTATTCAAAACTAGCGGTAGTCTAGAGGCCGAAATTTAATCCTAAAGGCTAGCTTAGCTCCCCGACGTAAGGGATTTCTTTTTCAATTTTTCACAATAGCTGAACTAAAGAAAATCGATTGAGACAAGAGAACATCGTTAACTATTTTGTCCATGTCTATTTTTTTAAAGATCTGTAGTTAAATTAGTCTATATTCAAATTTTGAGTTTTTCCACTGAAACTGGAGAAAAAAAACCTATACTGAGTGTGAGTGTGATTATGCGATCAAAACATTCATTTTGTTTATAAATCCTCGTTTGTTTCAGAGCATCTTGGGCGAGTTCAACCGTGAGCAGGACGCGTTTATTAAAGGCCAGGAAGGGCGTGGTAACGCGGCCGCCGTCGCACCGTGGATAGGTGCCCCCAACGAGGCGGCACTTAAGGAGGAGTGCCTGTCACTTTCTACTGTTAGCTTCTTTGTTTATCTTATGTCATAGATGTATAAGATTTTATTCTTAGTTTTCGGTTTACCTATAAGACATTTTTTTTCAAACAAGCTGAATTTTTGAATCAATAATATACCTGGTAAAATTGCATATTTCGCAAAGCTTACCATTTACCAGTACGGTAGGATAGGCTTAATATACCCACATACATCACATCCCTGCCTTCCTGTCTAGGGTGCTGACGTGCAAAACTGGACTGCACGGATGGCGTAGTGGTTTAAGCGGTCGCCACGCCGCTCACTTCTACGCTGAGTGTTGTGGGTCCGATCCCCACATGGGACGACACTTTGTGTGATCCACAAATTGTTGTTCTGAGTCTGGGTGTTCTTTGTGTCCGTTTCATATATTATGTTTGTAAAGTCCCCCGCGACACAGGATATATTCGTAATGCGGGAGTTGTCTTAAAAAAAAAGGATGCTAGCTAATTCAATTTATGTGTATTTCAGGACCGGCGGAACTTCGTGCGCGCTCCTCCAGCGGGTGTGGAATTTGACTTCGACTACGACAAAATGTACCCTGTGGCGGTTGCTATAATGACCGAAGACCCTAACCTGGAAAAGATGCGCTTCGACCTCGTGCCAAAAGTGTAAGTATGACTGTGATATGAGTTATTGCTCCAGCATGTATGTTATTTTAACGTATGTTAAATGTTCGACTACTGACTATGGCATCCGAAACTGATATTATCAGTATTATACATATAGAATATTTTATAAGGAAATCAAGATTCAGCTGTCTCACTTAATTATAATTAAAAAAATGTTATCTCCACTTCCAGTATCACGGAGGAGAATTTCTGGAGGAACTACTTCTACCGCTTGTCCCTCATCTGCCAGGCCAACGAGGCAGACGCGGCTGCCAGCCGTCAGACCAGCGCCGACGATTCCCAGGGTATGCGTCACAAAATGCTTTATAGCCGTCATATACCCTCCATTGACATAACTGACGCTGACTAAATGGGTAGGATGCTTACAACATATATCATAAAGACACCAACAAACTTACGTAGATATGAACCTTTGTTTTGCTGTAGTAGAATTCGTTAAGAAGTATAGTTATGCTGCGTCAATAGGAAAAACTCTGTTTTCATGTTCATTAAAATATCTGCTTACATAACATACATGATCTCATATATCAAATGTAAGATTTGAAATTAGGTTCATGTAACTTTAGGCTTTTTGTTAGTTTCAAAGACGTTAGAGGATATTGAAATTGGATAGTCATTTTTCATCTTCATATTTTTTTTTTCTTTTAAAGTATGAAAGTTGAAAAATAGTCCCAAACATTTTTGTCCTTAATTTTATTTTGATCACTCCCATCACTTGTTTTTATTTTTCCACTTTTATTTTTTCCACCTCAGAAGATGTATTGGCAAATGAAAACATAACAGTAGCTGAAAAATCGTCACAGGAATCTATAGATGACGTCAAGAAACGAATAAAGTCGTTGAAAGTCGATAGAGAGAACGACGATGGTAAGACTTAAATTTCTTTTAATTTATTATTTAATTAACAATTGGTTTATCTATTAACTTTCTTGTTATAAGTTTTTACTCTAATTTGTTTTGTTTTTGATCTCAATTATTAATTGGTTTTTTTTTGTTCACACATAGCCATAATATTTAGTTTCATTTTTCCTTATCGTTATTAGGGATCACATTCACAGTCAGGTTATCTTCGATAAAATAGGTACCAACTTTGAGGAATATATGCCTTGCATTGCATGCTCTTTGTATATGTAAATATATATCTGCCTACACCATACTACATAATTTACGTTTATTGACCCAAATCCGTTTTACATCTTCAATATGACTTTTACTGCCTTGAGTGTTCTATCAATTCTACTTATTGTGATACAGTTCAGAACTCTTGTATTTGAACTTTTCGTTCGAACTTACATTTTCTATCAAATTATTATTTTCACAGCATATGACATAATTTATTAAATTCTAAAAAAATTCAAAATCATTACCAATTATGTCATCAAACAATTTCAACCTGACCCCATCTCATTAATATGCCATTAAGTTTATAATGAAAGTTTTGTTTGACTGAAACTATCGCTAAATGCATATATTTTTCCTCTCCCCCTGGAATGCAGCTTAAACTACGCACGGACATCCGAAGGGCATCCACAGTCATTATTATTATAACACCATTACACTGTTCTATACATATATTATTCTACTATTAGTAACTATAATTACATGGTCTAGGTAGCTAATAAATAAGAATCTAGAACTTCTAATATTACATAATAACTATATTTTATTCATCATCATAACCACCGTTTATAATAGCACATGTTCAGGAAAAGGAATTAGGAAAACACAATGGATTATGATTATTATTATGGAGCTGGATGCGAGAAGCCCAAAATCGATCTAAGTGGCGTGCAATGGGAGAGGCCTATGTCCAGCAGTGGACTGCGATAGGCTGATGATGATGATGATGATGATGAATGGATTATGAGAAAGAGCAACATAGGTTTTACTTGAGGTGAGATTGTTGAAGTGTATCTCGGAAAAGTGTGTAATGTATAGAACAGTATATCTATAACAATATGTATAGGCGATGCGATGCTTGCGTCAAACAGAATGTATTGCTATAATAATACAACCAATTGTTTCACTCTTGATAAAATAATGCCATCACACGATCTAAGTAGCGGATACGCACAGATAGTAATGTTAGAGAAATTGTTGGTTTAACTGTTGAAATTCTTATACATAGATGTTATTTCGCATTGTAGTATTAAAATGGGTTACAAAGCCATATACCATGTATCAGTTTTATTGATTTATGTATTCAATTTAAAATTGACTTGAGTAATAATTAATTTGTTTATATAGATGATGTCCTTTTTTTGTGGTATGCTTAAGCTTGACCATAACCCATGGCATTATTGTGTCAAGCACATGTCACTGTTGATCCATTCACATATTATGGATATAATTTGAAGCGTTATTAACTCTAGACTTTATCACTGTTTGCATCTTTCTTTAAACTTTGAAATTATATATCACTGTCATATCTTCATCCTTGTTGTTATCTCGTGTCGTATATATTAACTAAATGAGTGTTATATGACAATATAGCTTCTTTGTCCTTAATATAAGGACTATAATAACTGTATATATATCTTTGTTTGTAATCTGTTGTATGTCACTAGTAGAAAATTGGTCTGTATTTCAATAGCTTTCACATTCACTGCAAATGTAATGTTGCTATTGACGTAAAGACCACTACGGTTGAATTGTATACCTATCTTTAAAAATATCAAATAAATTTTTCTCAGTGGAACCTATTTTAATGTCTACTAAATGTTATATATGTCTAAGTATTGATTAAGGTTATATAGCAGATAATATCACACGGTTCATTAAAATTCGGCTCAGTAGTGTTAATCGTAAGTATTTATTGTCCAGGTTTTGACATTGCTACTTGTGTATGAAATTTGTTCCTCGAGCTTTTTGGTCTATCATTGCTTGTTTGTTTTATGTTTTTATTATCTATATGCTTATATATTTCTCAAAGTTGGTCGTAAACTCTTGTCGTTTATTTCACACAGCCTCCGAAATTATTTGCGTAGCAATGTTGAAACTTTTAACCCTTTTTGTACATAAACTTTTGTTGTCAGCCTATTTCGAATCTCTTATCAACTTTGTTTGAAACTCTTGAATTAGCAAGAGAATAATGAACACCTTAAAATTCTAAGAGTGATCTTTTGAAATGTAACGATAGAGATGTTTTGGAAATGTTGTGGTTTAGATACAAAATTGTAATTTGTATGAATGTTCCCATCACAGCCGCGACATATCACTAATGGGTGACAGTCAATTATAATTCCCCGTTAACTGCCGTCTTCGATCTTCAAAAATTAAAACATTTAATTGAATATTTCTGACAACATAATCTACCTTCCCCACATTTGTTTTGTAATTATTTACAATTAGCATAAGATCTATATTAATCAGGAGGATAATCCAATGTTATAAAAGTTGTGTAGATTTAGGTGGATACTCATTTATATGATAGTGTTTCACGGTTGGATTGATAAATGAACTCAGGCCTAGTATGCTGTCGCCCGGGTATTATTTACGTCCGGCTCTTGTTAGTGGTTGCTTTTCTTGCAAAAGTATAGATATTATATCTAAATTCATAAATCACCATCAACAAAGTACTCTATAACTTATGCACCTTTTACCGCAGTCGTCTATCTCGATGAAAGTGCATCGTGTTTGTGATGGTCTACCTTGGTAGTATTAATATCAATCTTTTGCATATTTATCAAAAACTGTTTAGCAATAAAATTGTAGTCATTATAATCGTTAATCGGTGTCCATTTAATCATAGTCTCAAATTTGAAAACTAAATAATTTGGCTACTTGTGTGTCTTGGAGTTTTGCCCCATTGTTTTTCGATCTCATAATTCCCACGGCAATTACTCTGACTTTCCTTAGCTTGTAGCGTCTAACCCTGGCCTACCGTGGTCTTATATTTCCACTAGGGTTCCTAGTCATGCAAAAGTGTCATATCTAGCGACAGTATATACTTTCAACACTCTTACATTGTTTAGTGAAATTACAACGTATAGTTAAAAAGAAATGAAAAATTGGCATTTATAGTTAGTTATTATGAATTGAAATAATTATATTATTCTAAAATAATATTGGTGTTGTTATTTTATAAAATAAGCAGTAGACACCTTAGTTAAAACAATTTTTATATTCCTATAACTGAACAATAAAATAAACTAAAATGTTTGAATGTAGATATAAAAACTCTTACAGTTACAAATTTAAAAAGATATTTAGTTTCAAGAAACTTATGAAGAGTAAAAATCGTAAGTATTATAAAAAACATGCTGGCCTAGAAAAGAAAGAAAGGAGAGAAACAATTACTATGATATTTTTTACATTAATTTTCATTTTTGTACATATGCACTTGGTGATTTTCTTGGATGCAATTTTTAAAAAGTGTACGATAAAGCTTCTTTCTATTTAATTTCATTCTGTTTTAAAAATATGAAAAAAAAGAGCTGCTGATACAGTAAAAAAGTTGCAAAAATAATCAACAATTTTTGAAACTGAAAATATGGATACAAATTGATTAAAAGACAAAACTGTGTATCGTGAATATAGATATGTGTGATTATTTTAGAAGGATGGGTAAATGAAATAAATTGATGTATTGGAAGCAAAAGCTGTTCTGTTGTGATTGTAACAAGACAACTTTTGTTTTGCCTTCTTGGTACATCTAATCCATCATCACATTCATGATTGTCAAGGTGATACAGAAAGGTTTTTCGAGGTATTAGGTGAGTTAACAATAAAAAAAATCGTTCTGAAATTTTTACCTGGTATAGATGGTATGAAGATCAAAATGTCATCCCTGGTTTCTAAACTATATATTTTGTATACGTTATTGGTCCCGTTTAAAAATTAAGCACACCATTCTGTAACACCTTGAATTTATACCAAAGGCTGGTACAGACAGCGGGAAGAGCGTTACAATCTATGCAAAGTTCATACTAATTAATAAAAACCATGTCAAACAGCGCTACGTACGCTTATGCCCGCCCTGCCTTGCTTGTTGTCTAACCCAGCCTTAACAGTAGTAGATACTGATGAAAATTGACGCCTTTGACCAAATATACTTGCAGAACAATGGGAGAAGGAATTGGAAGCTGAACTGAACGAATACGAAGTAGTTGCTGACAAGGCCGGTGATGAGAAGTGGGAGAAAGAATGTGAAGAACTGCTCGGAGATGGTGTGGACCTTAAATAGAGGAGAAGGACGGAATAGAGCGAGTAGACCCGTTATAGATGAGAGCGTGCGTTGGAGAAGATCAACCCTTGGATTAATAAAGCATATTAACTATGTTGAATTAAGTACGGTTTTCAGAAAAGTATTTTGGTTAACATTTAAGGCATCAAGTACTAAAATTATATTCGGATATACATTATTGCGGCGATACTTTAATTGATTTCAGTTCAGTTTCATTTATTTCATTTATCATGATTCAAATTAAAGAAAGAAACTTTATTTCACGTTACTGTATAGCTATACAGTCAAGTAAGCAAGTTAAAAGAGGTGTTTTATAAAGATTAAAACATCATAAATTGATATTCACACTAAAATTTATGACGTTTTTCAAGGGTTGGTCTTCCAAAAAGAATTGGTACACGGAGCTCAATTAAAAATTTCTTATGATAATATGATTGTGGATGTTGCTGTAGATTATTGTAATAAAAATAAATAATAAAAAGAATAATAATTTAAATTTATTATTAGAAAAAGTGCGCGTAGCTTTGTCAATATGGAATATATCAGGCCTAGCGTTGTATTGGTAACAATAATAATATTAAATGAAAAAATATAAAATAAAATACGAAAATACTAAAAAAAGACACGTGTTTAAAATATAATGACAAATGTATTGAAGATCATTAGCATTAAGCAATCTGGTTCTCTCTCTCTTAAAATAAAAGTAAAGAGGTATAATATTAAATAAAACGCTCTGATATTAACATTTTAGAATAGCATGGCGCTTTTCTAAAATAATGTTCGATAAGAATGATGTTTTTGTTAAAAGATTGACAATAATTATTTTTTTCTAAAAAATCTAATTCAGTTCATCCTAATGATATTGTTTTTTGTTTTACTTTCTACTTATTTCTGTTATAAATAAATATTTAGTTCCATTTGTAAATATTTTGTATAGGCTCTTTTTATACTGAATATCGTTATAGACTAGCGATCTCTATAATAATACACTACACTGTTTTATATACTTTAAATGCAAATTTTTTCTATCAATTGTTGTTAAAAATACTTATTAAATCACTTTTAATTTAGTATTTTTCAAAATAATACTAATTTAAGCAAGTTACGAGTATGAAAAGGTACTTGTTGTTACTTTAATTAAAATGCACATACACACAAACACATGTAAGAAGAAAATAATAATAATAATAATTCATGAATGAATATTAATTTAAAAAAAAAATTATTGACGTGAAGAAAATGTCTACATATGCGTTGTAAATTTAAAGTTTATTTTGTTTTTTTTTGTAATTAAAAATTATTTTCAAACTTGTTTTTTTTATATATTAAAAAAGATATTCTAACAAATGACACAAAGTAACTCTCTATTAGACTTTTCTATATTGTCTATGCCCCCACAATAAAAAATAGCTATATATAATTAATAGAATATAACAATTCCTTCGGATATTATATTGGTATGTGTGGGAAATGTGTTGAAATATCATTTTGGTATTAAAACAAAATACCATAGTTATGATAAATTATTATATATGTAGATAATATATTATACGTGTTGATGTAAACATTCCTACTTCAATAAAAATGAGTGTTGATCTCAAATTGTGTTTTTTTTTTCTTCTTAATATCCATATTTATAATCTGTCTTCTCGAAGATATATTTATAATAGACGTTCCACGCAATTTTCCTTCTGTTATTGTCTCTCCTAAAGATACAACCCTTCGACTTTTTATACGTGTGGAAGCCCCCTCAGGCGCATTATCTATTTAGGCAACGTCCAGCACACGCGGGCGTCTCTTCCTCGCGATTGGTTATTATGGCGAGTGGAAGGGAAAACCTGTCCTGTCCACCCGCGGCCACACTCAGGGCGGCACGAGGCGCTGGAAGGCACGCCTCAGCGGCGACATCATAGTATCTACGCCGATCAACGTATCTTAGAAATGCACGGTACGCTCCTTCACCAGCGTCCCAGTCATTTGTTATTTATATATTTCTTTCTAAGGAGAGGCCTATGATTCAAATATGACAGGCGACATAGAAGTTGATCATTTAATAACCCTTTTTTTTTCCGTGCGGAAATCCCCTCGGATGCCACCTATCGGTGGCATGTCGGACTCGAACCGACTAAAACCGCACGCCGTCTCGGGTACTAATAGCCGGGGAACCAGGTATACCCTAGAAAGGAAGTCCCTGGTGCCCCGACATACCTCGGGCCATCTACAGACGAGTAGACGACCCCCCCCCCCGTGTGGGAACCCCATGTTCCCTCGGCTCCCCGGAAGCGAGCGTTCGCAAAGTGGAGGAGCGTCCCGTTCTCTAGGTTTTGACCTAGAGAACGGGACGCTCCTCTCCTCGACATCAGAAGAATTCAAAAATAGAAATAAAAAAATGTCGTGTCGAGAATTTTTATACGTTGCTCGTCGTGGATTTCCACGTCACGACGTCGCATCGGAGCAGGACGCGACGTCGTCGTAGCATGTTTATTTGTAAGAGCCCTAACAGCTCCGTTGGAATTTTCAACGGATGGAAAAATCGAGAGAGGTTGCTCGGAAAATCCAAACAAGGGCATAACATCAACGCATTGTCAAGTAAATGAAAGATTGACATATAATATTTTTGAGGCCCTGCATTATCAGTTTTCCTCAAACGTTCATCGGGATAAATAACTATCGTTTAATTTGTCTGGTCATGGTAAATTTAGCCCTCCGTGTGGTGACGGATTAAGATTACAGAGTGTCACCACCCCTATTCATCCCATGGGTGTCGTAAGAGCCGACAGAGGGAGAAAATAATGCAGAATAACAGCACTGCAGAGAGAAGGAAAACTTGACACAAAACCCTACACCAACCCGTCTGGCCAGCGTGGTATAGTAGGCCAGAACCTCATTTCTAAGGAGAGGCTTGTGTCCAGCAGTGGACTATTAAAGGCTGTTGATGTGATGATGGTAAATTTAGAAGGAAGTTTCCTAGTTACATTTGTCTAAGTTGATCCAATAACAGAAACGAGTTATTCGCGCGGATATGTGTTTAATACTGAACAATAATCAAAACTTACATTAATAACTTCTGATGAGCGTATTTCTGAACGAAAAAACGTCTTCACCCCACACAGTAGCGTATTAAACTGCGAGACTTCACCGACTATCACTGAGACATCTCTTTTTCTTCTATTCGGACACAAATACATATAATAGTATTACACTTCGGTCGTGATATGACTACAACATCAAATGAAGTACTGTAGATGCAGCCAAGGATCTTAGGCTTATTGATGTGATAGTCCAAGTGGCGTCTCCAATACTAAGACGAACATTATGCGAAGGGGCCTCGGCCTGTTAGAGCTTCTAGTCTCAATCCAGTTTTCTCTCCGAGATTTGTGTTTTCTCTTACTCTGTTTTCCTCGCCTTGGAGACGCAATCGGGTCGCCACGTGAGTAAGAATAGGGTCCAATTGCGGGCTGAAGACCTTGAAATCACATGGTCCGGGTTCTCCCCAAAGTGACGCCTAGACGCTCAGAGCCTGGGCGTCGGGATGGTTTTAAGTGGTAACGCCATATACTCCTGGCTCCTATATTGTTGCCCAACGCCCTCAAGATTTCCCTACCTCGGATTACCTTCTTACTTTACGACTGACATTAACGAGGAGGGTTGACTTTCAGCTGTAAAATAAAAAAAATACTAACAGCCTTTACTAGTCAAATCCTGGACATAGGCCTCTCCTTAGAATAGAGATTTTGGCCTACTATACCACGCTGGCCAGATGGGTTGGTATAGGGTTTATTTCAAGTTTTTCTTCTCTTTGCAGTACTGTTACATTCCGTATTCTTAATCCCTCACCACACGAACGATGCAATATTACAAATTGACTGATTAATTTTACGCATAAAATTCAGGGAATTCAATTATTATCTTCCTACCCTTTTGGCAAATTTATTTGGGGTCGGTGCAATGGGTTTTCTCATTCCATTCTCTATTTATCACTCCTTCATTTAATTGCGAAATGGTTTAGGCTTTTTCTTTCATGTTCAGCCGGCCAATGATATCGATTTATTCAAGGAATACAGTACTTTATATTATTTAGTTTTCTGTTATCGACCATATTGTGGCTACATCTACAAGTTTGAACTTTATCAAAGACCGTCATGAACTGTCTTTGTTTAAATAATGAAGTAGTTGATTTTATAGGAATTTGACCAGTTAATGTTGCACAATTGTACAGAGGCTGCCAAGTCAGGTGCATATTTCGAAGCAAGACACGTTTGACGGCTCAGAGATAAGAGAGTTATTTATTTTAAACGTTTGAAGTAAACAATACTTATGAGGAAAGCTACAACATTGTAAGCTCTACAAAACCCGTGTCGTCTTGTTCAACATCTGTATAAACTAATTTTTCGTCTATCAAGAAAGTTCAAATCGATGCAAGCCGTCCTCAGTGGTAGCGTATGCGACTGCTGTGCTGAGGTCTCGGGTTCGATTCCCGGATCGGACCAAATGTTTGTATGATCTACAAATATTTGTTTCGGAGTTTAGTTGTTTTCTATGTATTCATCATCACATCAACAGCCTTTAATAGTCCACTGCTGGACATAGGCCTCTACTTAGAAAGGAGGTTTTGGCCTACTATACCACGCTGGCCAGACGGGTTGGTATAGAGCTTGTGTCAAGTTTTCCTTCTCTCTGCAGTGCTGTTGTTCTGCGTATATTTTTCTCCCTTAGTCCCCTCTTACGACACCCACGGGATGAATAGGGGTGGTGACAGTCTGTATTCTTAATCTCTCACCACACGGACGAATCCGTCACCACACGGACGAATCCGTTATTTACCAAAAAATAATAATGATTCTTTCGGTCAATCTAGCTTTCATAGTACAAGCTCTGATTAGTTTGAACTAGGCGTTATGTATCAGATGTCCGAAAACTAAAAAAATATTAATAAACAAGCACACGATTCGTCTCACATTAAGTGATTACCGGTGCCTATGACTTTTGGAAGGAGAAAA